AGCCAAAGAAAATGGGAATTGTTGGAAATAAACCAAAATCCCCTTTTCCCTAAAAAGTTGTTTCCCCAAAAAAAAAACCCTTTTCCCCTTGGCAAAAAACAATTTTACAAAGCAAAAAAAATTTTTTTTTCCAAGAACCAATTTTATACGACCTGTAAAAAAAAAGAAAAGAAACAGGGAAAGAAAAAGAAACAAAAATTGTTTTTTTTTTTAAATGAGGGTGAGGGGGCCCCGACCTTTTTCAAAAAAAATTAAAAAACCCTTTTTTCTTTTGTTTTTTTTTTCCTTTTTTTTTTTTTTTTTTTTTTTTTTCCTTTTTTTTTTTTTTTTTTGCCAGAAAAAAGCCGCCCTTTTTTTTTGGGCCTTTGAAGAATTCCTTTTTTTTTTTTTTTTTTTTTTTGGCCCCCAAAAAAAAAAGGAAAACCCGCAGCGGGCAAAAAAAATGGGATCAAGGAAAAGGTCCCTTTTCAGGAAAGAGTTTTTTTTTTTTTTTTTTCCAAGAAGTTTGCTTTTTTTTGCTGCCCGGGGAAAAAAAAAATTGACCCCCTGGTGGAACCGCCGGCGGGTTTCCGTGGGGATTGGGCTTTGTTTCTTTTTTTTTTTTTTTTTTCACTTGTTCCCCCCAAGAAAAAAACCGCCCCCTGGGTTGGGGAAGGGAGATTGGACCGAACAAAACCTTTTTTTTCCTTTCCCCCCCCACCCCTTTTTTTTGCTCCTGCCTTTAAAATTAAACCAAAAAAACCAAACAAGAAGTTTTTTTAAAAGTTTGAAAAAAGGTTTCCCCCTGTTTTTTTTTTTTTTTAATTTTTTTTTTTTTTGTCCTTTCGTTTCCAAAAGAAACTTTGGCTTTTTTTGATTTGAAAAATTTTGTTTTTTTTTTACTTCCTTTTTTTTTTTTTTTTTTTTTTTTTTTTTTTTTTCCGCCCAAAACTTATTTTTTTCAAAACACGTTCCTTTTTCCAAAAAAAAGTGGAAAAACCCTAAGAATCCCATTCACAATGTTTTTTTTGTTGAAAACACTTTTTTTTTTTTTTGGAAAGAAAAAAATCCCCAGAGAAAGGAAAAAGGGAAGGAATTTTTGTTTTTTTTTTTTTTTTTGTCCCAGTCGTCTTTTCCCAAAATGGGTGGTTTTTTTTTCAAAACCTTTTCCCATACACCAAATGAAAAAAATGGAAAAAATCGTGTTGGGTTCCATAAACAGGCAAGGCAAGGAAAATTACCTAAAAATTCTTTTCAATTCCACTTTTTTTTGAAAAAACAAAAATTTTGTTCCCTTAATATTTCCCCTTTCTTTCCCTTTCCAAACCTTGTTTTTTTATTTCATTCCTGGGTTTTAAAAAAATAAAACGTTTCCCTTTCTTTTTTTTCAAAATGTTTTTGTTAAAAAAATGTAAAAATTTTTAGTTTTTTTTAACAAAAAAAAAATTTTTTTTCTATTTTCCCCATTCTTTTTTTTAAAAAAAATGTTTTTCCTCAAAAAGAAGCCCCCACCTTTTTGGAAACTGAAAAAAATCCCCTTTTCCCAAAAAAAAAACAAAAAAAAATTTAAACCCCCAAACCCTGTCCCTTGAATAAAATAAAAGAGTCAAGTTTTTGTGCCCGTGGGGCCTTGGGGGTTTTTTTGCCCCTTTTTTTTTTTGTAAAAACAAAAGTTGTCTACGTCCTTGAAAAGCCCGTTTTTGGTTTTTTTTTTTTTTTTTTTGGGGTTTTTGCCTCCGTTCCCCCAAACAGACGACTTTTTTTTTCTAAACAATAAGCTTTTTTTTTTTTGTATTGTTTTCCTTTTGCCCCCCAAAATAAATGAAAAAAAAAGAGTGGAAAGCAGGGGAGGAATTGTAGCCAACCCTGCCCCCTTGAAACCAGCTTTTTTTCCCCTTTTGGTAAAAAAAAAGTTCCCCCCACTTTTGGCCCCCTTGCCCAAAGGCCCCAAAAAAAAAATCCCTTTGGGGATTTCAAAAAACCCAAACCAAAACAATTAATAAAAAAAAACCATCAATAATCCCATGACTTCCAACCATTTAAAACGCCCTGAATTTTTTGTTTTTTCCCCCCTTTTTAAATGCTTCCAAAATTTTGTGTTTTGGATTTTTAAAATGAAAACAAAAAGTTCCCAAAACTTGATTTTTTTTTTTTCTTTTTTTCCCTTTTTTTTCCAATAAAGAAAACAAAATGGGAAAAGTGTTTAAAACTAAAAAAAGCCCTTAATTTTGGGAAAAGCCTTTAAACTCCCCTTCCTTTGCCTTTTGGTTTTTTGTGGGTTTTTTTTTTGTTTTTTTTTGGGTTTTTTTTTTTTTTTTTTTTGGGAAAATTTTTTTGTTTTGGAAAAAACCCAAATTTTTAAAAGCCCCCCCAACTTGGGCTTTTTTCCCCCGCTTTGGGTTTTTCCCTGGTTGGCCCTTTTTTTTTTTTTTAATGGTCCCAAAATTTAAAAAAAACCCTTTTGGCCCCATTTTTCGGTTTTTGATTCCTGTCTTTTTTTTTGGTTTTTTTTGGTTTTTTAGCTCCCCAGCCCCTTTGCAAGAGTTGGCCCAAAAAAGACCCAGTTGGTGTTTTGGCAAAAAAAGTTCCTTAAAAAGAATCAGTGGGGTAAAAAACTTTGCCCAAAAGTTTTTCATATAAAACAAGCAGCCGGGCGGCCATGGCCTCCCCCGACCCCCTCCCATTTTGGTTTTTTTTTTTTTTTTTACTAAACAAAACAGTTAGCCCCCTTTTGAAAAAGAAAATTGGGGCAAAAAAGCAAAAAAATACTGTTTTAAGCCAAAAAACACCCAAAATAAAACCAAAAAATTAGATTTAAGCAGCAAAAGCAAAGTGCCACAGGCAAAAAAAAAACAACCGCCCTTGGGAAAAACCTTTTTTTGTCCCCCCCCCCTTTTTAAGGGGTGTTTTTTTTTTTAAGGCCCCAAAAAATTAAATTTTGGATCCGTAAACTTTTTTTTTTTAATTTTTTTTAACCCCTTCTTTTTTTTAATTTTTTAAAGCCCAAAAAATTTTAATAAAGCAAGTAAAAAAAATATTACAACATAAAACAAAATGGTTTTTTACCAAAGAACGCAAACGAAATAAATTTAAATAGTTTTTTTCTGAGGGTAAGGGCTTTTTGTTTTTTGGGTAAAAAAATTTGGCAAAGAAAATCCCCTGTTTCAATATGTTTTTTGTGATTACTGGTTTTTTAAAAAAAAAAAAAAGAAAAAGGCCGATTTAATTAGTAATGTCCCTTTTTTTTTCCCTTTAAAAGCTTTTAAAAATTTTATTTAGGAAAAAAAAAATTTGTTCGTTTTTTAAAAAAATAACCCGTTCCAAAGTTTTTTTATGTTTTAACAGCCAACTTGCTTTCTAAAAAAGCCGGTTTTTTTTAGGGGTTTTTTTTTCAAAACACAAAAAAAATTTTTTTCAAGATTAGTTGTTTTTTTTTTTGAAAATATTTTTGAAATTGGAATAAAATTTTTTTTTCAAAAAAAAACTAAAAAATATTTGTTTTTTGAAATACCCTTTTTTAAAAAGAAGTGGTAAAAAATCCAAACATTTCCCCATTTTAACCACAATCTTAGGTTTTTTGTTAAAACGCAATTTGGTTTAAATAAGGAACAATTTTGTTTTTTAAGTTGTTTTTCCTTAAAATTGTTAACCGAATCTCCTTTTTTAAAATGAAAAAAGCAAAAATCCTAAAATCCAAAACCTGGCATATTTAAAAAACAGTTTTTTTTTTTTTAAAAATGAATTCCAATAAACCTTTTTTTTTTTTTTTCCATAAATTTAAAAAATGATGTAAAATGATTTTTAAAAACCACAACCCAAAAAATCCCCTGATTTTTAATTAGACAATTTTTTAATTTTAGAAAAAACCCTTTAAAATTTTTTAATTAAATTTAATATTAGATTTTTTTTTTTTTTTCTTTTTTTTACCCAAGAAAAATTTTCAATATTTTTGAAAAGCCCGGGGAAAAAAAACCGTTTTTTTTTTTTAAACAAATGTAAAAAAAAAAAATTCTTTTTACTGGGGTGGGACCCAAGAAAAACTGTTGTTTTTTTTTTGATTTTCTTTTTTTTTTAACCCAAAAATTTTAATTGCCCCTTTTTGTTTAAAAAGCTTTTTGTAAAAAAAAAAGTTTTTTTTTTTTATCCATATTCTGGTGGGTTTTTTTTTTTTTTTTATTTAATTCATTTCAAATTGTTATTTTTGGTTTTTTTTTCCAATAAAATCCACTTTTTTTTAATAGATTTGCCAAAATTTTTTTTTGTTTTTTTTTTTGAAAAAATAATTACCATTTTTAAAATTTAACACTTTTTTATAATGAAAAAAAATAATCCTTTTTTTATTAATGAAAGGTTTTTTTTGCCCAAAAAAAAACCCCTTTTTTTAGAATTTTTTGCAGTTTTGTTGGGTTTTTTTAAAAAAAAACTTGGTTTTTTTTTTTTTTTTAATTTTTAATTTTTTGCTTGAGAAGAAAGCCGGCAAAAACGATTTCAGTTTCAAAATTTTGGTAACAAAAAATTAAGTTCAACAAAGGGCAACAACAAAAAATTTTTTCCTTTGATATAAACTTGAATTTTTAAACGAAATTTTTAAAAATCAAAAGTAAAAAAACTTTTTTTGAAAAAAAACTGTTTTCGCTTTAAAATTTGTTTAAAGGAATTTTTTTTGCTGCTTTTTTTTTTTTTTTTTTCCTTTGGAAATTGATTTTT